GATTGTACTGATTATGCGGAATGTGGAAATACGTATTATTTACCATCACGGTTGCAAAATCCCAAGAGGATTGAAGATATCTACATTCATAATAACTGGGATATATCGTTCTATGTTGACTTTGACGGATTTCTGCCAGATGGATTTTATAATCGCTTATTAATGCATGTCGTTAGATGGACACAAGAATGTGGTGGTCGAGAGCCTTATTTATATAATAACTGTGCTCGATTTTATTTAGATGAAGATCATGATTTTATACTACATCGAGCACCTATGCGATTTGCACGAATAAAGGTTAATAGTTTTGTAATGTACCAGTTAATGGCTACAATAGATGCTTTTGTTGTTACAGTCTGGCTCACTATAAATAAGAAGTAAATCCTAACCTATAAATGATACCCTGTATGACACCCTTACTAATAGGTTGTTGTCCAACGAGCAAACTTCGATGATGAGGAAGAAGGAGTTGTTATTGAAGTAAATAGACAAGCATGTACAAAGGTATGATTTCATTAAAAGATTGGCAAATATATTAGTCTCTGTAAATAGTATTAACACCGAAATATATACAGTTCTTATTTAAATACTTTATTTACAGGTTTTGCAGTTTGTTAAAGCGACATTGGCTAACTTGCGTAAAGCCTGGATCCGTCACCTTAATTATCAAATTGTTGTAGCCTGTACATGCAACAAGTTATGTGAAAAACATAACATTAATGGTTGTCAAAGAGAAGAGTGTTTGCATTTTCATGAATTAGAACTCTGCAAGTCTGCAAAGGTTAGCTTAGTACTAATGACAAATTTTTATTTTGCACTTTAAAAGAGATTATTACTTCGGAATATTATCAATTAAACCATAAATCAATACGCTGTGCCTACGGTCATCTTTTTGATTATATTCATAAGAATTTTATATAATATTGAAGAGATCTTTATACATATGTCATCAAACGGTCATAAAAATTGCATTTTTTTAGCTGGTCCTCTGTGATCATAGAAGAATTCGTACAGCACCATATAAAAAGTGGTTTTGTCCTGAAGTTAAAAAAGGTTGTTCTATATTGACCACTGAGAGTTAAAATCTTTAGATATCGACGTACATAAGTGCTAATCAATATACAATCATTAATATACCGGCACTATTTTGTAATAACTAAATTTCTATTGCTTTTTTTATTACCGTGTTTAATCTAGACAAGAAAAGCTTAGGATCCTTAATTAAGTCCAGTAGCAAGGTATTTATTTTATACCTATTTATAGTGACTAAAGTCTTGATATAGATACAATTAATGATGTAGTTCGTATATGTTGGAAAAAATCTAAAATAATTAAACTATCATTCATTGACTTCCATATTAGAACTAGTAGCTAACATATGTATTAATAAATTGATAGAATGAACAAGAATTTGAATGGCCCCATGAAGTTACCGATTTATTAACTTTACCTGGTAAAGCTAATTGGCGCACATTGGCTCGAAAAATGGGCTATAGTGAGATCGATATATGTAATTGGAGTTTAACAGCAGATCCTGCACATGCAATATTGAATGATTGGAGTAAAAGTAATACCATCGATGATTTATATCAAATATTGCAGTCAATACAACGCGACGATGTTATGCACATAATGCAGGAAATTGAGATTAATAAAGGTATGCTATAATAGAGTATATACTAATAAGAAATCAGTCATGTTAGAATTTTAGTTCATGTTCTATTTCAATTACAACGAACACGAAATAAATGTATAGGTTGACTTCTGTTTGATAGCTGTATTGTGATCGTTAACTAAATGATTGAAACTGATTTGGAAGGAATATTAAGAGTGTATCAATACCATTAAATAAGCTTACAATTATTTTTTTACGCTCAATTTCAATCATAAGGTATCGTTCAAAATTCAGACAGTAATAATAACAACATTGTCCGCTCCGATACACCCTCACCAGAAATTTTTATCAGCTATCAATGGGACCATCAAGCTGAAGCTAAAGCCTTATGTAGTCGATTAGGAAGGTATGGCTATAAATGTTGGATTGATATTGGTCAAATGGGTGGCGGTGATATTCTATATCAAAAAATTTACGACGGTATCAAAGAGGCCCAATTAGTGATTGCATGTGTAACCTCCAAGTATGTCTCTTCTAGTAGTTGTAGTAAAGAGATTATTTTAGCTGATATGTTAGGTAAGCCGATTGTGCCTGTCATGTTGGAAAAGGTCGATTGGCCACCACCAGGTGCAATGGCTATTAGCTTTTCTCAACTTATTTACATCGATATGAGCGGCCAAGGTGGTGGTCATGGAGGTAAAGGTAGAAATCTATCGCCACGCGAGAAATTTTCGGAGATTATTGAACGAATCAATAAATATGTTAAACTGAGCGATGAACAAATAACATCCGGCAATTCACTAGATAATCAAAATGATTCCACGAATAATCTTTCGCCTAATCCTAATAATAATAGTAATCATTATTCCAGCACTAATGCTGATCATAATAATACCAATCATCACAATATTAATGGTGGTGGTCATTCTGGAAATCATATTCGTTTCCATCCATATGACAATATTTCGATAGGATCTTCAATTTTTGAAGATGCGCTATTTTCTGCATTGCCACGTACAAGGACAACGTCTAATCCTCATGTTAGCCAATGTTGTAATATATTGTAAATAGTCATATTTTTATTAGGGCATGTCCACCCTAGTGGTGTGGAATTTCTCTTTTCCTGGCTACTATTTATTTAAATTGCTATTAACCGCAATACTACAAAATAGAAATAATGTATGATACATATGATGATACTCTTTCATGATCTATTCTATCTATCTGTTAACCTTAAAAATGGTGACATTGAAGCATTTTCATTTTTAAAGCTTTATGCAACAACATGCCTATTTGTAAATAATAATGCAAATTGAAGTATTTTTATTTATAATATTGTACTAATAACATGTGTATTTGTTGTTACTCGTGAAATGTTAGCATTTTTATTTAAAAGAAGCCTACTGTAGCAAAGGTATTTGTTAATAGTCATGAAAAATGAGCGTTTTATTGATAACAGAATACTGATATTATAGCCGAGCTATAATTGTGGTCTTTTTAATGTCTTAATAAAAATGAACGAATTTATCCAAATCATTTCAACCAGTGGATTGAAAGTAGGTCGAAATCCTATCTGTCAGTGCATTGCATTTAAAGAAAAGTGCAACTGGAAAGAAATTTCTATAAAATTTTACCACCTTATAAGTTTTTTATTGCCTTGACTGTTGGAATATTATACGGTTGCAAGAGTTAAGCTTCGACACACTCCTAATGTTGAAAAGGATTAATTAGTTTTCAGCTTACGTTAAAGATGAAGGCGCAAGACTTTATCTGTTGATATCTAATCAAAGAGCAATAACATGATCTATAGTTGCGTTAACTTCCATTATATTCTTTAAGTATTCCATTTCTAATATTGCAAATGGTATGCATATGATACGCTAAATACATATATATTAAGATTGTAACTGCTATGTATTTTCGTGGGGAACATATACTAACATTAACTAAGTGTAAGATTCAGATATATAACAGTAACGTTATTCGGAAACGAAATTATAATGCATAATTGAGGAATTTGAGAGTAACGAAGGATTTAAATTTTACTAACTTCGAAAAGCAGGTACTATAGGAAATAATATCTGAAACCCTTGAACTACACACCATAGCTGCTGCGTGAGAGAGTCAACATTATCAAATTTATCCTCGTTCTAAAATGCTACATTGGCACTCAGCTTCAATACGGAGCCCATAATTAGGTAGGCTAATGTCAATACAGCTCATGTGTGAGATTCATTTTAGATATTATTGTGAATTGTGAGAAGCAGAGAAGCGCAACGGTGAAAAGTCCATATAGTATACAATCTTAAGATTTGGTTACAACAAATGCTACCTTTAATAGCCGGAGGACTCTTGGATATAGGAGACTTCTCAACTTCTTTGTCCGTACTTAACCAAATGCCTTTTTTTATCATAAATGTCAATGGACGGTGGCAATGACTAAAGTGTCAATAAAATTTCGATACTCCTTTGCATCTCAGTGAATGATACTATACTGAGTAGGCTGGGCAATCTGGGTATTCAGATTTTCATTTAACTGGATTAAAATGGATGAAGATATTTATTAGGAATGACTACAATCCTGCGAATCTTTTACAGAATTGTGTTCTGTGGTCCGTTCTAATGCTCTACAACTACAAACTCTGGTCTACCGTAGTAAAATTATTGACGCATTTAAGTTGTATAAATTTCCACTGGCTTCTACAAGTAGTTAGGCCTTAGCTATAATTACGCACTTTACGATGTGCACTTTTATAGCTTGTGTAACTTTAGATAACCTAAAATAACTTAAGATACACCGCGATCAGTATGGAATCCATTATGGATGGATACTACTGTTATTCAAGGGGTAAAGCTGGATAATTTTGTACTTTGCGGTAGATCGCACCCACAGGCACAGCATAATAAGCAAGTACAAGCAAAATATAAATGAGGAAAGGAAAACAAGTCATGACGCAATCTAGCCTACGATGTGCATAGTTATAGTTTAGATTGTAACTAATCATAGTACATTTTACCTATATAAGTAGCAGTAAAACGCGATCCTGGAAGTAAACTCATTATATATTTCATATTTATGGGAGGGGTAAAAAAAAATAACCATGGTGACGCATTCTTCCAAGGTAGACAATCCTTAGGGGGAAAAAATAAATAGAGATCGAAACTAATGAAATACTAGTTTTCATATGTTTCTGTTATGACACATTGAGAAAAATTAAAAATAATTATTTAATTATACTGTCCTGTACTGCAAATGAAGTTCATTCGATCTGCTGGCTAACTAACATTGTACTCTTATACTTGTACTCTTGTATCTGCCTTCCAGTAAGTAGCCCAGTATTGATTTAGGGTAATTATTCAAGTATTTTTCTTTATTACAGACCCAATGAACCCCTGTAAAAATCCTGCTCCGGGTCAAGTAGAGAGTACAAAATTGAAATCCATTGAGGAATGGACTGATCAAGGTGAGGAAAAACATGATGCAGCAGAAGAATTCTTCTACTGTCAAGAGCGTAAGAAGATAAAACATGGTGATAGTTGGAGCCAATCGCTTGCCACTACAAATTATCAACGACTCCATCCGTACCAATATCAGCATCAAAGATCATCTGGATTAGACTTACTAACCGATCCATTACCATGTCTAGATGATGCAAACATTACTGATCAATCAAGAGGCGAATTGATGCCTTCAACTTCGGGTTATGTTAACTTAGTTGATCAAAATACGATTGAATTGACTACCGAAAAATCCCATGCATGGTCTAAACAACACCATAAAAGTAAGAGTAATTCCAACCATCTCTTACAGAGAAAAAAGAAGGACAGCAAAAAGACAACAAAATCTCACACGCTTTCCAATCAAGTGATTGTAATCGATGGTGATAATAATCATCAAATGACTATCCAAACATTACATCCATCGCCTAATCGATGTCGGTCTTCCAAAGTATCACTGCATAGCCCGTTAAAGTATCACCACGAAACTACTTCAAAACTATCTCCTCCCATCGTTATTATCGATAGCGGTAGCGATGAAGAATGCGTAGTAGATAATCATAATTTCGATTTGCTAAATAGAACTTTGAGCCGTAAAAATCAATCGATTGAGGTAAGGGAATCTCATTTAGGATAGGGCGCTAATAGCCGGCTAATTTATTCATCTAATTACTATCGTCATCAAAGTCTAGTAAGTGTACGTATGATAGACTTTATGGTTAGAATTACTATTTCTGTATTAGCTTCGCATCACTATCATACTATTGTGTATGGCTAAGTTATCGATATTCGTCGATCTTTTTATCAGCTAAATAATGAAATTTATTCCTTAATTTATCAAAGAGAGTTACTCATTATGATGAGATCATCGATATTCCATTACTAAATTCTAAATTAAAAAAATTGATTGAACAAACTTGAAGAAAACCTTCAACTAGTAAATTATTGAGTATATTTTCGAATTTATATCGTTAAAAGTATGCGCAAGAATCAGAACAATCTAATATGCAAAATCAACCGTTATCGATAGAAGAAGAAAGCATACTAACTCAAGGTACTGTATACTTCTTAAATTGCTAGGTAATATTTTATTAAAGAGTTAAAAATATGGTTAATTTGATGTTACAGATGATGGGGATAAAGGTGAACAGTCAGATACAATCAACGATGTAGTAAAAACAGCTAAATATCAGAGGTAAATATTCTCCCCAAATTCATTTCGTCCTACAAGTTTTTATTAGATTAAAAGAATTATGCTTAAATTGCTTACGAATTGATACTGAAATTATTGTATTTGCAAGCCTACTCTAAATTTTTTATACATACGAATCAGAGTGGAACAAATTGATTGTACTGCAACTTACAGTAATTATTGACTGGAAATGAAATTTACAGCTTTATATCGTTATTATCAGTTTAGAAAGACTATCAAAATTTTACTTGCAAATAGATATTAAGGTTGTTTGCTAACCTTATCTTAGCAAATTACGATCTTCAAGTTCTACGACATATGAAATAGAAGGGAAAATTTTTATTAAAATTAGTTTCGAACATTTTACTAGAATTAGAAAGGTCTTATATAATCATCATCATCGTATTATAGTGGAGCTTTGCGTGTGCAAACTCCTGCACAATCGACATCTTTCTGCAGCTGCTTAGTAAAATTGTAAAGGTCTTACATATATATATCGTCATCATCATCATCATATTATAATGGAGCTTTGTGTGTGCAAACTTCTGCACAATCCGATTTATAGCTACTGCTGCCGCATGTTTTTTTAATTATTATACAACGTAATGATTGATTCGGGCATCATAGTGGTGTTCTAATGGTAAATGTACCCTACTTTTTACATATATAGTAATAACAAAGGTTAATGTAAACTATATGAAGTTTCCGTTGCACGCTATCGAATGGGCATAAATTGAATTAGTGCATAGATAGCGTAATGAAAAAACACAAGCGTTAAAAGTGGATAAAATCCTAATTAAGCTAAAATTGTATAATAATAATTGTTTAAACATACGGTATTGCAGGATGGTTATTGTACGGCAGTATATTCACATAGCATCAACGTGGGAAAAGGATAACGCTAGACACAGATAGGAATCTAACACAAAATTAGTGAATACAAATTGAGTTGTACTGTACATCGAGGAAATAATGAATGAATAATGCCACGTAGTAATAGAAATCTAAATTCTAATATCCGCGAATGCCAACCAACAAAAATCATCCTCCGTTCACATGAACGGGTATTTTTTACCAGTTGATACTAATAGTCTTTTACTGACGTTATATTAGTAAATCTCCGTCTTTAAGTTCTAATACAAAAGAAACAAAATCGCTTGATAGCAACTATTTCCAGGATCATTTTGCGCTATTTCAGGAAAAAACTCTTGAACAAGGTATGTAAGAGTTCTATTAAAAATACTTGCATCTATTTCGCATTTATAACGAAAAGTAATTCACTATGTTTTATGCGGTGGATATTTTTTTCAGCTTTGAAAATAGAATACTTGCGATTACATTTGATGCATGAAATCCTTCAACTTGAAAATCAGTATAATTGCGTTATCCTATTTGAGAAAGCAGACGAGAAAAAGTGTCTGCATACGTCTATCTGTCATCATCAAATTAAAGTTCAATGTAATCCATCAAATAGAGAATCTATTATGAACGAGATTTATAAGCTGTTAAATAAAGTTATTGTTGAAGAGGACCAGTTTATTAGTACAGGTTGTAAGGTGGGAAGATTTTTAACATCAAGCCATTGTCAGATGAGATTGAAATCTTTACAAGATGAAAATGACTGCATAACTATCATTCTAGACGATAAAGATCAAAGGTATCAGTTAGCAAACTGTAACTAGATGTATTTATTGCTAAATCGATGTTAGACTGCTATCCTATATTCTATGTTATAAATGACTCATATTGATTTTAAGAAAACGATTCGGCTAGTAAATATTCCTTAAATGGGCAAAATGTTGATAATAATAAAAATCTTTTCACTACTGATTCATATTTCATATACTCGTATTGCATTATTAATAAAAATTAATTAATACATCATTGAAATGTTAATGCTATTACAGTCTATTCTCGTAAACAGTTATTCGATAAGTATCTACAATCGAAAGTTATCTGACTAGATGTTATGGAAGTGGTAATTATAATACCAAGTTCACGTTAAGTTTTAGTCTAAGACTATTCTTGCACACAATTTCTTTAAATCTTGTTGAAACCTGAGTTATCCGTCATCAGAATTTTTAAGGAACTAATTGATTATAACGGTTACTGTATTTAATTCGTGTTCGATAGCAGAAATCGATTGTGGTCTGATTAGGTATTATGAGAATATTGGCAATCATATTTTAATTCCATCGGCTGCTTTTTTACCCATAGTAACTTCTTTTCTTTAAGCTTTGGTAGTAGTTGATAATTCATCGTCAATGTTTTTGAGTACGTCACACTCATCTGAAAATGATGAATTAACTGGAGTACGGTATACTGTAGTACTAATAATAGCGCTGTACATTTACGTAAATTATTACAAGTTTAATTTTACTAGCTACTGATCTGCAATCAGTATTAGAAATTAAAAATTGTCTCTGTAATATGTTAGCATGACTAGATATTATTCAATTATTAATATCAAGCACTAATTTAATTTGCTGCTTTTACATATATAATTTCTATATTTTAATAATTTATAGTAGTATATCAACCAATTTGAAGGGCTCAAAGCGTATGAACCAGGTTAAAAGGAATGAAGTAAAGATTCAGAAAGTTATAGATTCTAATGGTAGAGCAAGTTGTAATTTACAAACTACGACGACATCTGATGTGGATAAAGTATCAAATAAATTAATTCTCGCTAATAATAATGAATTATCCGCGCAAACAGTCATCCCTAATACTCCTATAAATAAACTACCCCTAACGTCAACTTTGCCTAAGAAAGCCACGCCGGATAATATAAATGATCGTGTTGCTATTAAATTGGTAATAGGAAGTATCGAGAAAGAAGGGCGAGTAGTGCGTAAAGTTATAATTATGTTAAAAATTTTGTTATAAAAATATTGAAATATCTTCATTCAAATTACACTTTGCGAAATTAGCTATACACATAAATAAAGTTCATTTATATTATGCTATCTTGCATCTTTAGGCTGATGTTATCGTCAATTCTATGAAGCTGAAATCCTATTACGATGGCGCCATCGCTACCGCATTACATAAAGCTGGTGGTCTAGGTTATCAACTTGAATGTGAAATTCAGTTACAATTTCTAGGTATCAAGGATATTGGTAGTACTGGTGGGAGCTATTTTGGATGTAAAAAAGTATATCACTTGCCATTTTTAAGTTCCAGTAAATCGATCACAGTAAGTCTGTAAAATTTTTCATCATTATAATTCTTCCTGCAGGCTAAGCTAATTCATATCGAAGCTCATTAACCATTGAGATATGAATAAAGTATTGTATTCTCATGATCAATTTTATATTCTAGTGGCTAAAGGATGGGTTAGCGCGTTGCCTAGAAAAAGCCAAAATAGAATTGATGAAATCTATAGCTATACCCATGATTGGAATTGGTGGAAGTCGGTTAAAGGCTGATGAAGTGATCAAAGGAATGATCGATGTGGTATCTAGTTTCAGTCGGCAGCTTAAGGAAGAAATTTGCTTAAAGACGGTTTATTTTGTTATCCTAGATAACCAAATTAATCATCAACAACTATTTATAAGACTATTACATGAACGATCAACTGGATTAAATGCACCAAATCAGACTGTGCCATTAGTCACTACCACTCAATCACCGTCATCATCATCTCTCCTATCATTTAACAGTATACCTGCTACACCACCAATAGCTATGCAACCTGTTTTAATGCCAGATCGCAAGGAGATTGAATTAGTTACAAAATGTAGCAGTAGTAATCTTGCAAATAGCTCGAACGGTAGCTATGTACTGTACTTTACCGCTTGCTGTTATATTAATGATAAACCATTATATGTTAATCTCTATCATGGAAATATTGTTGCAGCTACAAGCGATGCCATTATTGATTTAACAGTATTATGTGATCAACATCGCAAATTAGAGACATTAGATGGTGTTATGGACAATTGTAATTCTCAGCATACATTGGAAACTTTGCAGTGTTTGCCAAATTTTCAACTCAATTGTAACTTATATCAGATATGTCCATATGGCTGTTTAACCGGTGTGGGTCAGTTATTAAGCTATATTAATGCAAGTGGTGATCGTTCTGTTTCATTCCCATTAATAAGTATAGAATTAAACGCGGAGTATATCCACCAGATACTCTTTGCGATTGAATTATTCTTGTTTAATCACGAAGATGATAAGACCAGATTGAATTGTGTTGATTTTGCCTTAAGTTCAAGAGATCGAGTGGAAGAGATTGCAACATGGATAGGGCAAGAGATTAAGAAGCTAAAGTTGCATTGGGAAATAACTTTTAGTATGGCAAACCCCCAATTTGGTTTAAAAATTATCTACGCATCTCAGAATCGCTATAAAATAGACCGGATGCGATCAATTGTGAATGATTGTGCTGATACTTGGAGGTGCCACCAAATTACTGACGAAGATTACTTCGTCGATATCGACCTAAATCGTTGGCATTATATAGCATTACAATTTTGGTGCAAATATAATACAATCCTAGTCTATTACCATCGAAATAAAATGATAAAAATTCATGGATTTGAAGCCGATATCTTAAATGCGATATCAGCTATTCATAAGTTATTTGCTTCACGGTTGAAAGAAAAAGCCGCTAACGAAGTACAAGTAGCGATAGCTAAAACTACTTCCTGGTATGCCATTATTGGTCAATCCAAATTTAAATTTGATAGTAAGATGAATTATGACCTCATTAAAAATTATGAAACCTATCTCCAAGATAAGACCAATAAGATTTTTTTGGTCGATTCAGGAATAAAATCGATTGACTATGAAAACATGATTATGACAGTTTCTGGAAAACAGTATCCGATAGGAAGATTTATGTCAACCGGTGAGTAAGATACAGTAGATTTGATTCTCTACTTTTGACAGGGATGACGATATGTCGATAAATCAATCTCTCTTTCTCATCTACGTATTAGCAAATACGGTACTATAAATGGGGGTATCTGCCAGTATAAATTTGTCCATTAAAACGGTTGAAAAGTTTAAAAACTTTTAAATGGTCATGAATCAATCTAATATTGTAAATAGATGACGAGATCACTGTACCTCCGTATTGGGATGAAATGGGTGAAACAACTAATGGTTATTATCACGCTGTTGATGTTACTAATCAACACGAAATAAGTGAAATTACAAGTCTTCTTGGATTCACTGGGCTTCGTGTTCGCAATATAACACGTATTCAAAACTGGAATTTGTATCGTCGCTATCAAATCATGAAAAAAGATGTTGAAAATGCAATCCGGAAATACAAACCTGGCACTCCAGTTGAGAAGCTGTTGTTTCACGGTACAGCAGGATCGAATATCGATGGTATATGTAAGAGGGGCTTTGATAGGGACTACTCAGGAAAATCATTTGGTTAGTTGAGACTCAATATTTCGATACAGTCCTGTTGATCTAGGACTAATGTTATTTACATGTATAAATGTAATTATAAGTTGCACTGAAGTAGCTAGAACGGGTAATATCTTATTAGAGTCGAATTGAAGTAGTTAAGATGTTTAAAGGTCGCAATGTTGCAACACATCCAGATACCATTACTGCCATTAATCACCCTATATTATAAATTAAGGTAATTAAAATATTTGAAGGTCGTAGTGTGTACTACAATTTAGGTTATCTATTTGGGCTCAATTAAAGCAATTACCGTAGTTAAAGGTCGCAACATCGAATATACCCTATCATGTATTACGGCTAGGTTAAGGCGGATAATATGTTTCGTGATTATGGTATCTCAATATACCATTAAGATCATATACCTCGCTTACAATTAATGCAATAAAGAGCTTTGCGGGTATGTTACATAAAGTTGAAGCAGCCAATTCTAGTCAAGCTGAACGAACATGTTTAGAGATAGTATCATTCACTATTATGATAATTATAACACTGTACTGTACAACAGTAAAATATTTCCTCTAGTTTGTTAATTTTGTAAGGCAGTGAAATAAAAGTAACTAGTTAACGTCTTTAGTGATCGCAACATACCACTAACGTCTAAATGATAGTCAAATTAAATAAATTAACGTGTTTGAGGAGATATTATCGTAGTTTGCCTCTATTGATGTCATATATTACAGTTAAATTGAAGTTATTAATAAATTTAGTGTCGCTGTATTGTAATGCATAATACAGTATGTTGTCGTTTAAATAATAAAAGTACCGGCAAATTAAGATGTTAAAGGTCGTAAATTGTAATCGAAATGAATTAACATGTTTAGAGATCGTTGAATATCGTTGATATTGTATACAGAGGTTGAAATTAAACGAACATATTTCGAGATTATTATATCGAAAATATGCAGCTATTACTCTAATGCAGTTTTGTAGTAGAAATAATGAGCATTTTTAGAAATGAAAATAAAGCAGTATAACACTAATGCTATGTATTATTCCGCGCTTTAAATAAAAGTGTATGTGCTAGTTATTAAGACGTTTAACGTTGTTAGATCAAGATGGAATTGGTAGTGTTAGTATAGTGTGACAATCTCCCTTATTTTGTTATCATTAGCCTATAGCTATCAATCTGTATTCAAGGTTAGTTCAAGTCATTCTAACGGTAGGTGACTTTTTTTTTTACATTACTTTGCTCTATAGGTTCTATGCTTGGAACAGGAACTTATTTTGCTGTCCGTGCAAAAACATCACTCACTTATGGTAATACACTATTAATAGCTCGCGTTCTAACGGGTATCTATGTTCAAGCAGGAATTAGTAGTTCGAATAAGCCTAATTTAACACTTATCCCAGGAAGTCAATCAGAACGAATCCATTCTGTTGTTGATAATTACACTAATCCAACTATATTTGTAGTATCAAATGATAATTCAGCTTATCCCGAATATATTTTACGTGTTTAACATGTTTTTATTCCTACACTGAGGATTATTATATATGTAAGAATACAATAACCTGTTGTACACTACTACATCCCTAATGTGTTGCGATAGATAAGGTAATGAATTACTAAGATAAGTATAATATAGTATTAATCCAACTATATTTGTAGTATCAAATGATAATTCAGCTTATTCCGAATATACTTTACGTGTTTAACATGTTTTTATTCCTACGCTGAGGATTATTATGTATGTAAGAATACAACAACTTGTTGTATAGTACTGCATCTCTAATGTGTTGTGATAGATAAGTATAATATAGTATTGCAGCTATACTATTTAAATGCAGTAAGTCCTAAATAAAAAGTGATTTTTAGTAAGTCTACTAGGTGAAGTGCATCAAAGTCCCTCGTGCCAACGTTAACAACTAAGCGTGGAAACACAACGAGGATAACTATTAGTATTGTACAGTATGTTAAAATTGCGATTTCATTAAATGAATCAATTGAAAGGGAGTAATTAATTTTAGTCTGTATATCACTGGTCTATCCATCATACGTTCATGAAATCACTCGACGATAATTAATTCAATATCTCCAGTGCTATTTTATCGCCGTCATCCAAATATTTGTATATGATAGCAAATATATACAGTAGTGGTAAGATAGAAATCTTATAGATATTTCTGATCAACGTTTTCTAGCTAGTAATTCTTATTGGTGTAGGCTAACAGTCCTTAATTTTCGTCGATGAGAATCACTCACGTAAAATTAATTTACTATATGCTTCTATAGGTATCATTCTATGAATCACCGTCGTCTAAATCTACGTATGATAGTATTTGCATACATCTTGCAAAGTAGAATGTTAACACTCCAGTTTTGATAATTTTACGAATATTTTGGTTCTACTTTTTCATCCTTAAAGTATGTTTGGCTAGTAACTTTTGTTGAAAGAGCCTTATAGCTCATACTTTCGGTCTAGCTGTAGAGGATTTTCTCCATTCTTTGGAAAGCATTCCTGGAAGGGAAATAGTATTAAAAGTGTTTGAGTTTTATCATGTCTGATTTGATACAAGTATGTCATCCATCATTTCATGGATGGTTAAAAGTGATTAAGTAGACCTAAATGTTTGTTAAGCGATGGAGAACTAAATATGCCTTGTGATATTTAGTAGCGATAGTCCATGGTTAAGCTACGCTGCATTAATAGCATGACATCTGGATGAAATGGATGGCTTATACGTAATCAGATCATCCATGAAAGACAAGTATAAAGAAAATAGAAAACTGTAGACATCCTCATATACTTTCAAAATAATGCACAGTAGACTTTCATAAGGCAAAACTTCATTTTATGAACTAGCTGAAATCATTTTAGATAAATTTGTCATCCGAATCGGTAAATGAACTCACTGCTTGAATAAAACCATACTAAATGACTATCGTTGAGCAATGTTGGACCTTGCCTCATCAATATTATTAAATTGAATTTACGAGTACTAAAATTCATCAATCCCTCATTAATTCATTATATCCGAAATGTTTGTTAAGCGATGGAGAACTAAATATGCCTTGTAATATTTAGTAGCGGTAGTCCATGGTTAAGCTTCACAGCATTAATAGCATGACATCTGGATGAAATGGATGGCTTATACGTAATCAGATCATCCATGAAAGACAAGTATACAGTATACAGAAAATTGTAGACATCCTCATATGCTTTCAAAATAATGCACAGTAGACTTTCATAAGGCAAAACTTCATTTTATGAACTAGCTGAAATCTTTTTAGATAAATTTGTCATCCGAATCGGTAAATGAACTCACTGCTTGAATAAAACCATACTAAATGACTATCGTTGAGCAATACTGGACCTTGCCTCATCAATATTATTAAATTGAATGTACGAGTAATTAAATTCATCAATCCCTCATTAATTCATTAAATTAATTCAACTATTCTTATTTTCTCTTAACCTTGCACAATCTCAGGATAAGAGCTCAAATATGCTGTACCAGTTGCTTAGCAGCGATGTGCTCTCACGCATGTGTAAAGGAATTTTGTTTACAATCCGTTCCCAAAATTAACCAGATCAAAACGTGATCTTGGAGGCCCAATAGTTTGTCAGGTAGCTAAAATAGCTGCAAATCCAATCTTCGACGATATCTTGGCCAATTTATCGATAAAATTAGATAGCTGCGACTGGTATGTAGACAAAATCTAGCACTAATGTTTTCATTAATATCGATGAAGCTATGATAAACGATGACAAACAGATTTCCTATTTGGATTAGTAGTTTGTCCTCGATTTGAAATACGTTAGTAGCTAAAATGAGCAAGTTACAGTAGTCACCACTTTCAAAGCTCATGCCGCCTTTTCAAGGAGTAGAATGTGTTGATGGAGTACGAAACACGTTAGCACCTAAAATGAAAAAATTAGTCACAGTAGATAATAATCACCGTCCTATGAAAATCATGCTTTTCTAGGCGTAGAATGAGATCATAGACATGGGCTACAAAATACGTTAGCAGCTAAAATGAAGAAATTAGTGACAGTAGAGACCGTTCTGTGGAAGCTCATGCCGCCTTTTCCATGTGTAGAATGAGATGATCAAATAGGGAGCAGCAAGCTAGAGTCTTCTATAAGTCTAGAACTACGTTGAACACGAGGTAGAGGTTGTGGACAGCAACTTAATATTGAATTATTCATGATGCAAAGATAGTGATCAATCATTGCTCAACTTAAAATGATCAATTTGCTCCAGTTATTCATGCAGAAACTCATTTGCTATTTTCTTCACATTGAACAATTTAGTAGAGGAGTATCATGATGACATACAATAGAAGATAAATATGGCCTTTAAACTACTCTTTGAAAAACTCATGTTGCTTATTTCTCGATATAGAAGAACGTAAGAATACATGAACAGTAGATATCCAAGGGCTGCTACTAGAAGTGTAATACGATGATAGAGATTTTTAAGAGCTACTTAATATGAGAAATTGTACCAGATACTCATAGTTGCAGTGAAAATTCATATTGCCCTTTCTAGATGTAGAATGCCTTAATAGAACATTAGATTTACAAGCTTGCTAGTACTTTAATGTGATGATAGAGATACAGTAGAAATGCAATGGAATGACTTTATAGAACAACGCACAGTAGACTTTCAAGTCTCCTATAATTAATTAATATAATTGTAATTTTATAATTACTGTACTACTGTAGAAGCTGTTGACAGGTACGATGTAACGATAAATCAGTATGTAAAAATGTTCTAATGTCCGGTAAGGTAGCCTAACAGATTACTATGATAAAATGCAACTGCAAACGTAAGCTACTTTACACCTCGCAATTGACTCCTCTATCAAATACTAATAGTAACTATAGTTGGAAATGCAACTAAAATCCAATCCTATTTTGGAGTGGTATCTAGAGTAGTAATACCCAATAGAGATTAGCATATAGATAGCATGTGTGATCGATATTATCTATCCACTGTACTTTGGCTGTAAATAGATTTAGCTATTTGCTGCACTGCTATGAAATGCTTACAACTTGTTTTAATTCAATGAGATGCACTACGAAAGTAGAATAATGCCTTTTTCAAGCCTTTCCCTCGCAGTCAAGATATTCAATTACAATGTATATGATTGACTACTTTCGCACTATATTGCTTTCAGATCTTAAATAATCCTCAAAGTTGTTATGCCACCGAAGAAAAGAAAGGTTGGAGAAAAAGTTGCTCGTAAAGATACTGCAGCGAGCGATGATATAGGAGAGACTGGTAAAAAAAGGAAACGGACGAAAGTTCAAACTAACGGGCAATTTATCATTGAAAGATGGTAAGGATTCAACCCTTCTTGACTTCCTTAACCTGTTAAAATTACCCTCTGTAGGTATAATTCAATAACAAGACATAGCAATTTGCTAAATGATTCTTCTTATTCTGGCATGCTTAGTAACCTCATCACCAACACGAAAAGTTTATATAATTAGTAAGACATTATCCCATGCCTACGAAAATATTAAAAAAATTCCTCATTATAAATCATTCTGGTATCCTATCCTGCACTCTATCGTCAGCTTTGCCTAGATGTAATACAGTATGACTACAGTATATACTCATTAGGTTCCATTATGACAACCATGATAACTTTATCCTCGACATTAGGTACTAGATATAATTATATAATTGTGCAGCAATGGGGTACAGTATGACATGTTCTTGCTTATTCTTCAATTCAATATTTAAGAATAATATTATTGTAATCTATTCAGTTATTTTCATGCGATTACTACCGAGTAACATATGGAACATGCGGACAACTCTTATGGATATTTGTACGCGTATGTGTGGATTTAGGGTCGTGAAAAGACCTCTAAAACTAAGGTTATGTATTCTTGTTTATTAGCATGTCCTGACGCGTATATCAACGTAAAAGCGACGAGCTTGTGAAAGCCCTGCAAACGGCATTTCCAAAGATAGAAAGCCAAGTCAACCCTGAGAAGCCTCGTCGTGGAAGTTTTGAATGTTACCTGTCAAAGGAAGATGGCGATAGTTAGTATAAAAATAATTTTGAAACCATTGAAAAGCTAATACTTATAACTGCAATAAGTTAATGTTGACTAAGTCTAAATTTTACATTTTTAAACGATGAATATAATTGAATTTTAGAGATACTCCTTTGGAGTGGCATCAAGCTGGGTCCTCCAAGAAAGTTAAAATTTCCAGACCCTGACGTCATCATCAAAGCTGCTAAGGAAGCAATACAAACTACCACTGCCAAATAATAAGATTATTATGAACTTCAGCAAAAGCAAAGTTATTATTCAATCCAATTACATTTTTATTTTTGGGTTCGCAATGCTGTATAGCATAATTTCTAGAGCAGTTTTAATCTCCCATCATGTTTTACTTAAAAATATTTTCTGGTTACTTGCAGTATAAAAAATTTACGTGATATAAATACTGCGTCTGTATCAAGATATAAAAGCTACAACAAAACTCGAATAAGTTTCACTATAATTGCAGCTATTGATAAATCCTGATGCAAAGGAAATCGTTTCCTCGTTAGGAATTTTGATGATTTATAATGCATGTGATAGTGAAGTGAAATGAGTTAAAATAATTAAAACTAGTATTGTAGCAAATTCTTGTTTGCAGCATATAATACATTATTTTAGCAGGCTTAATTCGTTTTTACATCAAAGTCGTTCTTTATACAATACACTTTTCATATGGCTTACATAATAAAGCTGCAGTCGTATAATTTTACAACAAATGTAGCTAATGTAAGGATTTCTAAGATATTGCAATAAAATTTACAAGGTTATTGGCTTTAATTCCATGCCCGAAGGATAATTTGCTCGAAAAGAGTCGTTGTATATCAACGTAGGAATAGCTCTTTTCAATCTTTCGTATGAGAGAACTAATAAGCAACTTTTTCAGATTTGATCATATGGTGTCATCAAATGAATATTGTAATTGTATCCTATTGGTTCATCGTATTTAGATGAGCAGATGGAAGGTAAACCAATCTCCTCTGGTTGATACTCGTCAGACGAAAAATCGAGTAACCTTAGTCTACCTCTGTTTCTGAAAAATAAATGATCTTAGCTTAAACTGGATTAACTATTCACCGAGTGACTCCAAATAATTAAGAATTAACAATTTTAAGCCAGAGAATATTATTCCAAAACTACAACGGGGTTTACATACCACCTACTAACCTCCTATTCCATACAATATCATCAATTGGTGATTCAGCTTGACATTCTTCTTCAGGAATATTAGCGAAAACTAGGCATGAGGTATTAAAGTGACAATATTTTATAGGGAATCTAAATTATGAAAAGGACCAAGTATTAACACGTTGAAATAATAACATATCAAATATATGTGTATTTGGTTATAAGACGATTATTATGCCTATTATTATCATACGAGAATGAAGTTTCCCATAATAAAGCAGACATTCGCCTATCCCATACTGATACTTTACCGTTTTCACTACAAAAATTGGTACAAAATTAATGAGTGAGTTATGTGCACGCAAAAAATGATCAATAATTATATATATATTTATAATCAAACCGACAGGTTATTCAGAAAATAGTTAACTTACCAACCGCTTACGGCTTTTACATCGTCTGATTGTACAGTATTAATTTTTGATCTACTACCCCGAAAAGTATTGACAGGCTTTTCAGAGCGAAGATCGTATATTCGAACCCTGTTAAATAGAAATAGAAGCGCAAACATTTTTCTGTATTTAATATAAACTTATAGCGTTAGTGTTATAACGATGTAAGATTGTAACAATTTCTATGGCCAGTGAAATGAGAGGATAGCCTACTTGCAGTCGGAAGAACCAGTGATGATCGAATTTGATTTATATTCTGAAACGTTTATACATGTGATATCTCCAAAGTGTCCCTTTAATACACTTGTTATTTTTCCAGTATGGAGGGAAAATATTTTGAGCTATGTGTAAGTCAAAAGTTACAACTGTTATTATACATTGAGGAAAAGTTCACTAAACTTGAAAATGCTTTTGATATGATGCCGCAGGATATTACTTATAAGCCCTGGCTTTATTATGTCAAAATAGTTGTCTATCCATTACCTTATGGGCCTCAGAAGGAATTTCGAAGCCTAGTTGACTAATACCACAGGCGAGAAAATCATCTGCTACATCTAAGCTGGTAATTTTAGCACCATATAGTTTTTCTAGTGTTATCGATGAATCTGCAGAATCGAATCCATGAATTACAATGGCATCTTTACAAGATGCAACGACTATTGGGAGGCCATCTTTATTACCGGATATTTTTAAATTGGTAATCTAGAAAGATTTATAGTGGAAAGGTGTAAACGTTACAATGAATACAATAAATGAGAGTATCATTTTAGTTGAAATTTTATAAACATGAGCTATCCATCATTGTATCAATCATAAAATAATATCAAGGTTTTACTACAGTTTGCAACTTACATTATGAGACAAATCAAACGAAGTTGCTAGTTGCCATTGGCCGTTCATGTCTGAAATATCGGCTCTTACGGAATTATTGCTTGAGCTAGCAACTACTAAGTCCCTTTCAGTCTCGATTGCTATATTACTTACAGAATCTTCTAATTTATAATGATGAATTGGCGTTGGACCGTAGTCAATATGCCATATATCTACACTACCTGAAGAATGTATTTAATACATAGAATCAGTCAAATAATCAATCATTACAATTTGCCTGTAATTAGGAATGCCACATTAAATTATTTATTTAGAAAGTACCATATCGAAGTCCAGTAGCAATTAAATTTCCGCTAATTGCTGCACAATTAACAGGAGACCTTTTGTCAATGATTCCATCTTCATCATAGTCAAAAGTGGGGTGAATAGGATTAAAGGTACGAACAAACTCTGCATCATGGATATTATACAATTTGACTTCACCTAGGCCATAGCTACATTTAAAATATTGTGTCAATCGCTTTTCATTTCCTTACGAGCTTACAGAAAATATATTATGACATAAAGTCGTGATTTTACCCTGCTAATAGATGATTGTCGGATAATGCCACTGAACATAAAACGCCTCCAAGAGTATTTTCAAATTCTTGGACTTTGCATATTCGTTCCTGTAAATTTACCCCATCTGTTATTTATAATGGTAATAATTACTTTGTTACAATATTAGCAGTTACCCTCCAATGTTTCCTGAGTCTTCGTTGAGAAGTAATATTCTTTCGCATAATCGATTTCCAGTAGCTGCCTTCAAATGTAGATGAACTGCGTGTATTTTTGTTTTAGGATAAATGAATATTTTAGTTTTAGTATATTGAAATGAACAAGCAAAAATTTGAATAATCTTTTCTTTTAGCGTACTTGATTAAATTTTTAATTGGAACTATTTTATCTGGTCATTTTACAGCTGTTTCTGTTTTAGTACTGTATACTGGTTAATAGCAACAGTATTTACCCTTCTAGTGGGTCTTCAGTTGACTCGCTTGTATTATCTTGATCAGTAAATCCAAACTTTATACATAAGTTGTGCCATAAGGCGTCATCATCAGCTAGAGACCTCCAACTTTTACTAACCTATTAAAATCGATCCGTAGAGTTATTTGCTATTTTATAGATGAAGAAACGGTTAAGATAGCAATAAGGTTGATATGAGATACCAATAATATTATATATGCACTATGCATCGTGCACGTAACCTCAATTTGTAAATGATTACCACTAATGCAACCCATCAAGTGGATTACTTATTGCTAGATGGTAAAATCTTATTCATGTCTTACCTGGCTACAATGACATAAATCTTGATAGCTGAGATATATGAATATTTGGTAGCAAAGTTCTTTGGGTAATTCAAGATCAAAAAAGGGCAAAGCATAAACCTCGTCCTAAAATATATTAGGCATATAAGTTAACGTATTGTCGTGTAGGGGTACACGTAAATTTACTCATTCATTCCAGTCCTAGGGAGAAATACACTCATGCAATATTCAATTTTTTGAAAGTTTATCGTCATGTTGTAAATAATTAGCCCGAGAGTACGAATTACGTAGGTTATGGCAACTGTTGATGATTGAATTAAAAAATAACAAGAGGTTAAGTAATGGGAATACTGTGTTAGGAGAAATTTTTTCGATTGGTTAATTTTAAGAGCTCCTATCACAAATCTAAAGCCTGCGTAAAAACACCAACCTGCAGTTTGATTTGTTTACTGTGGGAATCTAAATTACTTGCATTTTAGTATTATCGACTTTTAGGTCAGATTACCTTGCAGCTTTAAGAGCTAGAATTGACTTTATAAGTCTGACTGAAGATAAAGACTGAGAGTACTAATAAAAAAAATCTATTTTCTCTCCACAAGAGTACGGTTGACTTTCATGTACAAGATTGGCAATAAAAGAGTTAACAGATTCATGCAATAGAAAAAATTTTATGGTAAATTAAATAGGATTCATCATTGCTTACGTACTGATGGAGGACTGTTGATGTACTATAATTTCAGGGTTACCAGCTGACTAAGTTGGATTCATCATTACTCCAAGAATTATAATTAATTAATAATACAGTACCACTAGCAGAGACTTCTCTTCCTCTTTCTTTTATTTTATCGAAAAGTTTCTACTACCAGGCAATAATGGAGGAATGGTAACCTTCTCTAGTTGTAGGGCTACGAGTAAAATTTATCCTTTTATATTTTTCTTTTTCTTAAGTGATACAGTATCGAAGGGAATGTTGATTTATTGCAGTTGTAAAGTCCAAAAATGTCTTGCTGTACTCGAATTTATAAGTGATGAGAGTGATGGTTAGGCAATTTTTAATAACTAATCTAGTGCTCTATATTGTGCCTTGCTGTTATACTCATCTATTGGGTTTATTTTCAACTTTGTCTTTCCACATATAGAATTAAATTGGATTGATCATTGCTTAACCTAAACTAGTCAGCATGAAGGGAACCTTGATCGACTACGAGTATATTCGTGAACCTGCAGAACTACTGGAGATCCATGCTATATAGCTAAACCAGTTAACAAAAACATTTCGATACGAGCGCAACTAATTTACTTTTACATCTGTAGTCGCGAAAAGAAGATCAGCACTAGCCAAACCCTATCTAAATAACACAGTTGATTACTGGATTGGATTCGTTATTTCTTCATTATTAAAGGATAAAATAGTGGGGAATATCAACTAGGTCATCTAGCTGCAAGAGTGAAAAAATCTCTCTGCTTCGACGAGCAAAACCGACTTTGAAATCCATACTATATACTTACCAGATCTGCAATGAGTGCGCTAACAAAATCATGCTTAGGCAATTTCCTACGACCAATTACTTCATCTGTCTTTCCTTTCCTTTTACCTAATTGATCCTTGCTGGATAAATCTTGTTGATGACTACTAGAAGATTGATGGATCAATTGCTCATAGCGACGATAGGGTAAAACGGTGCCAACAATATCCTGTAAACTTTGTGAAAATTTAGCTGAGCCAACTTCTGATGTTGTACTGCCTAATTCCTTTAAATTCTTGCTATTTTTTTCAACTCCCTGATCGATTTCATGCAGCCAATCTTTACGAAATCTCTCTAGTTCGTCAGCCATTTCTTGATGAGTTTAGGAGAACATTTTGGAGCAGTTATTCAACCTAGCCAGCTAGCAAGGAAACATCGACTAATGGCCAAGAAAGTTGAACTTTTGAATCCATCATTTTATCCTGATAGCTATGTGGTGTAATCGACTTGCTCAAATAGTGTTTACAGTGCCTTGATAGCCTACACTACGGCAGATTCCTAATTATATCTTGATCACCTTAGGCGACGTACGGACAGCTAATAGTGTAGGCTATATACTATCGCAAGCTATCGATATTGTCCATACGTAATGACTCCTGTAATGAAGATCGGTGTGGTGAAAATAGTACGGAGCGAAATGGAAAGATGGAGATAGGCAGCAGTCTTCTAGCTCCAATAACATCTCCTATGAGATTATAGTAGAGAGAGAGGTAGTAATGATCACCAGTTGCTAGCGATTTGCTTTCTAATTCTGACAATATTATGGGTATGCATAGGAAATAGGCACTCTGCTCCAGATAGGTGTGGCTGCAATACTGTCCATAGGAATGGATCAATATAAGAGAGAGCTAGTAATGATCACCAGTTGCTAGCGATTTGCTTTCTAATTCTGACAATATCATGGGTATGCATAGGAAATAGGCACTCTGCTCCAGATGGTATGGCTGCAATACCGTCCATAGGAATGGATCAATATAAGGGAGAGCTAGTAATGATCACCAGTTGCTAACGATTGCATTCTAATTCTGACAATATTATGGGTTATGGTCTAGCTCGAATAACGTCTCCTATGAGACTATAGTAGAGAGAGAGGTAGTAATGATCACCAGTTGCTAGCGATTGCATTCTAATTCTGACAATATTATGGATATGCATAGGAAATAGGCACTCTGCTCCAGATGGTGTGGCTGCAATACTGTCCATAGGAATGGATCAATATAAGAGAGAGCTAGTAATGATCGCCAGTTGCTAGCGATTGCATTCTAATTCTGACAATATTATGGGTATGCATAGGAAATAGGTATTGCTCCAGGTGGTGTGGCTGCAATACTGTCCGTAGGAATGGATCAATATAAGAGGGAGAGCTAGTAATGATCGCCAGTTGCTAGCGATTGCATTCTAATTCTGACAATATTATGGGTTATGGTCTAGCTCGAATAACGTCTCCTATGAGATTATAGTAGAGAGAGAGGTAGTAATGATCACCAGTTGCTAACGATTGCATTCTAATTCTGACAATATTATGGGTTATGGTCTAGCTCGAATAACGTCTCCTATGAGATTATAGTAGAGAGAGAGGTAGTAATGATCACCAGTTGCTAACGATTGCATTCTAATTCTGACAATATTATGGGTTATGGTCTAGCTCGAATAACATCTCCTATCAGATTATAGTAGAGAGAGAGGTAGTAATGATCACCAGTTGCTATCGATTGCATTCTAATTCTGACAATATTATGGATATGCATAGGAAATAGGCACTCTGCTCCAAATGGTGTGGCTGCAATACTGTCCATAGGAATGGATCAATATAAGAGAGAGCTAGTAATGATCGCCAGTTGCTAGCGATTGCATTCTAATTCTGACAATATTATGGGTATGCATAGGAAATAGGTATTGCTCCAGGTGGTGTGGCTGCAATACTGTCCGTAGGAATGGATCAATATAAGAGGGAGAGCTAGTAATGATCGCCAGTTGCTAGCGATTGCATTCTAATTCTGACAATATTATGGGTATGCATAGGAAATAGGCGCTCTGCTCCAGATAGGTGTGGCTGCAATACTGTCCTCAGGAGTGGATAAATATAATTATAATTGGACAGACAAACTTCTCCATTTAAAGTACTCCTAATAACATTTCCGTATAAAATGGAAATTAGTAAACAGTACTGATCAGCAAATAGACACTCATCTTGAAATAACATTATCGGTTACTAATGCTGTCCATAATCAGCAAACGGATACTCCTCCTAAAGTAAGATTATAGATTGCTGCAATTGCAAATCGATCAGTTTGATATGGAAAGCAAGTCTCAATGAATCGATTAAAAGATTGCAAATTTCTGCTCAATGCTTGGCTACAAGTTGATGGTTATCATGATGAATAGAAAAAATGCATGTATACGTATACACGTATTCTACTAGTAAATAAAGACGTCTTCTATAGGGCTATTGATCATAACGGTAATAAATAATGGAATACTTGCTTAAATAAAATTGCAATGCATATTGCTACAGTAAAAGTGCATATCAAATGGTATGGCTTTCTTCCTTTGCATTCTCTTTCCATCACTATACTTAATACTTTGTTCGATAGCATAGGATGGTAACAGTACAATGCGAATCATAAACCAATCAAATTCTAGCGATCTGATAGATGCACTCATATAGATGATACGATTGCAAAAATACGCCGGAAATACAGGCCTTTCCAAAACTTATTATGATGAATAACATGCGCATATACGAGTAGATGCTGCTACGTGAATAGATTACCATTAACTCAATTGTAGAGCAAGTCTAACTATATTCAAATACGTAGCCTCCAAAAGATATAAACAAATACTGTAGAGCTAAATATCCATAAATGAAGTAAAAATCTTAGCTTAAAATTGAGCTCTAGAAATACTACGCACGAGTAGATCATATTCAGACAAAATACGTAGATTGCCAGTCGAACAGTAATAGATACGTTAATTATCGCCAAAATTTTGTCTTTATTATCTCAATGTTTATCATTATGTAATGCTTTTGTAATCCAATAATTGCGTAGGAGTACAAAAAATGTATGGTAATTAATCAACAGCAAAATAGACAAAAGCACTATCTGGATTAGTGTCGGAGAGATTAACAGAAGGGATAAATGATATAATAAAGATAATCCATGCAAGATTATTATCCACTGTAAAAATTTGAAAGGGGTATTGAACAGAACCTATATCGATACAAGAAAGAAAGAGGAGACAATTTCCAATTACTGTATATAGTTATTTACATAAGTGCATGTTACAAAGACTCTAATTTAGTAATTCCTAAGGATATCACTTCTACCGTTCTCACTATATGTAAAATTACACAATTTAATACGATACTTACATAAAATATTGAATGTAAAATGCTATCCGGAATGGCTACGTTTTGTATTCCAATTGAAATATAGTGGTTATGGCCGTATATTACTGTCATTCCACAAGGCCACGTTATTTGAGAAGACCATCTAAAAAAATGAACAGAAAAGATGACATTCCTCCTCAACTATATACTGTAGGTATACTAATTTAGACGAAAAAATTATCTTGATTATACTGTGCTAAACTAGAACTATGGGTCATAAAAGTGAGCGATTGACTTTTTTTCAACACAGAATACTCTTCTTAAGGTAAGTAAACAGTCTTATGCCATAGCAAATTTCTTATAATCACCTTGCCAGCATACTTACGTTAGAGCATCCTTAGCATCTGTAGATTTAATTCTCTTCCATTGACCCAAATGAATAGCAGCCATATGCAACTCATCACAGTATCGTAAAGAAAACAATTGCATCAAGAAAGCCACGAATAAATTTAAGCAAAATAAAATTGTGTATAGAAAACAATGCCATACACTGAAGTAGATTTGTGTCTATTAAAAAAATAAAAAAATATTATCATGACTTGAGATGAACTAATCATAAAATTGAATTGATCAAATTAAGCGCTCTAATTTACTTTAAAATGTAACAATTTAAACCAATAATTTATATGTATACAAGTAAACCTTAATAAAGTACTGCTCACCTTAGCAGTTTTTGTTGGTAAATAACCAATATAATAAGCGGCAATAATGCAATTTGCAATACTATGTTTGATTCTATCAATAAAATCCCAATGTAATACTTCTACTTCATGCCGAACCAGATATGGATCAAGTGTGCATCGTACTAATTGAATTTGTCTACAGCTGTAGTTATTGTCATTACTATCATAATTGTAGTAAGTATCAATAGACTGTTTCAATTTATTATTATCATGTATGTGCATGTTATTTTCTCCATCTAGGTCTGAACTTGAGCATTGGTTGGAATTATGACTAAAAATTCTAGCTCTTTGGTGAATATTGCTCCTCTTTGTCATTTGATGTTGGGGTTCAAAGCCCAGTCCAAATACAAGGATGTACGCCGCGACCCTTCAAAATAGAAAGAGGACTAAATCTGTTACACTGGTACGAATATCAATTTAATGATGAAATCGAATGCAAAAGTAATATAGTACGATGGGAAAGAAATAGCTCCTTTATGCATAACATAGTATTAAACTTACGGTATGATTAATAGAAATAGACATTCTTTTGACAGAGTGAAGCAAAGATGTGCAAATATCCAACATATTAATAGTGATATTACGAGTAAAACCAAATAACGATATAGTTGTATAATGAAGGATCCAGCAAAAAATTGGGCTTCTGAGAACATTGTCTACATTTGAAGTAATAGAGTCAATATACACGATATCAGTAGACGATATAACGTACATTAGTATTGGTTTCTAACCGCTTATAAGGGGTACGATTATAATAAAACATGATTCAATTTATCTTGAGTGGAAAATATAAAAAATTGATTATATCTCTTTCACGTACAAGCCTTAGTATTTTCCATAGAAATCTTCTAGCAATGAATATTCCAATAAATACCATCAAATGTCGATCGATTAAATAAAAATTCTGATAATAAAATAATATCCAGTGTTAAGACTGTATTATTGTTTATAATGCTATAACTTAGCATAAAAGTAAAAGTATAGTAGGTTCTACATTCTACAGTATACATATTCACAACATGATAGTAGGCAAAAAATCATGGGCAGGCTAGATTGTCAACCTAGGGTATGGATTTAGTAAATCCGATGTAAAATGCACTATTCTCACTTGATATGTAAATTTTGGAAAAGTTTAAATGTTCTGTGATCTTGAAATTATTTGTTAATATCAGCCGATAGTGATATTCTATTAGGAAGGAATTTCTAATTTACAGTGATTAAAGGCGAATGTAATCT